CGGAGCCAGCGGCAGTGGGGCCAGCGGCAGGGCCTTGACCCGGGAGCTGGACCGGCTTCCCCGAGCTGTGCCTGAGCTCAGGGGCTGGAAGCAGCAGCCACTGATTCCCGGGGTTGGCAGTGAGGAGCCCGAGAGCCTCCCTTCAGGTGCCTCTCTGCAGTCTGAGTGCAATGCCTGAAAGTTGTGTTGTGGTAAAGGCAGTGTGAGAACAAATGTTCCAATAGATCTTCAAGAGTCAGGGAGGGCAAGGGAGAGGAGGAATCACAGAGTCAGAATGTAGGTGAGAAGGGACCTCTAGAGGTCATCTAAGTTAATTCTCCTCAGAACAGTTCCCATTAGATCAGACTGCTCAAGGTCACATTCAGTCCATTCTTGACCACCTTCCGGGATGGACATTGCACAGCCTCCCTAGGAAACCCATTCCTTTTCTCATTATTTCTTCTTCTCGTCTTGGTAAAGCAGAATTCCTCATGTTCTGTCTCCTCGGCACTTCCTGAAACTAGGTCCATCTTCTCTGTCTCCTCTGAAGAAGTCACATCCAGTCCAGCCATGAACACCTCTCAGGAGGAAGATTGCACAGCCTCGATGGGAAACAGATTGTTCTGTCTCCTCGGCACTTCCTGAAACTAGGTCCATCTTCTCTGTCTCCTCTGAAAACGTAGTTATAGAAAGCAAGAAGAGCTCCGTGAGACACCAGTTATCCCAGACGAGCAGGCCCACTGCTCTCAGCATCTCCTCATACATTAAGTCTGTCAGGCCCCTAACTGACTTCGTGGTCTTTGTTGGACTAGCTTCAGTATGTCGATATCCTCAGAAGGACTCAAATGGGGTAAAAGGTCAGTGTCACTTTCCCCGGCCTGCTGGCAACACTTTGGCTAACATAGCTCAGGACGCCACATGGCCTGTTTGTTGCAAAGGCACACTGCTCTCTCGTGTTCACCTGGGGGTCTCCTAAAACCACACACTCTTTTCTGTGGAACTGTCTCCTACGCAGCCAGCTGCCAGCCCGCATGACTGCATGGGCTGGTTCCTCCATCAAATGCAAACCCTTGCTCTTGCTGGTTTTGGTCCTCTTGAGATTCCAGTCAGCCTGTTTCTCCAGCCTTTTTTGGTCCTCTCAGCAGGAGCCATGCCTGACAGTTCAAGCATGTTCCTCTCGCTGGTTGTTGTTGACAGACTTGCTGGGAGTTCCCCACTGCCCGCTACTCATTATGATCAGGAAAACAATAAACAATATTGGTCTTATGACAGATCCCTACTGCTCTACCCCGCTAAGAAGTGTCAGCCACCTGGGCTTTGTACAAAGATCACAACTCTCTGAGCCTGGTAGTCCAGCCACTTTTCCACCCAGCTTATCACTGAACCCATTTGTCACTGATTTGGTCTTAAAGGAAGTATGAGAGAGGCTGTCTTAGGTCCTGCTATATTCTAGGTACAAACCTCTCCTGTCCTTGCCTTCCCCACAGTGCCTGTTACCTCCTGAGAAAGCAGTGGGGTGTGCCGTTGGCTACCCTAGAGCCTCAGCTCAAAAGCGGTTCCATGGAGAGAGGAGTCAGCCCTGTCAGAGCTCTCCCAGCAGAGCTCCCTGGCACTGAGCTCACTAAGGTCACTAAAGGGAAGGGGTGAAGTCCTCAGCTGCACTGCCTGCAAGCTGGACTTGAGCTTCAGGTTGACAGATCTTCAGGAGGGGAGATGGGCTTAGAAAATTTACCTACTGTGCACAGCCCTTATCAGAAAGAGGGTCTATACTGGCCTTGCCTGTGGGAGAACAGCAGTCTTCAGAGAATGTGGTCTTGGATCCAGTGTCCTTTCCCTCTCAGAGGGAGTTGCTGGGCGCTCTGACTGAGATTCCAATGCAGGGCATGAAGATCCTTGTGGGCTTAAGTCCAAAGCAGTCATCAATCAGCCCCAACAGAGTGGCCAAGTTTAATGTCACTTCCCTGCTGTGGACCCCTCCAGCACCGGAGATGAGTCTTATGCCAGCATTCCTGTGGAACAAACCTGGAAATGAAAAGGCAGCAGTGTTGGAAACCAAAGCACAGCCCATATCATTAGCTGTGATGCTTTGCATTCAAGATGAGCTTGTCAGAAAATTGTTACCTCTGCAAAGGGTGGCTCTGGTCCTGTGGCAATGAAGGGCAGGTATAAAAGCCAGCCCAGGTCCCAGCTCTCTCATTCACTTCTGTTGGCTTCTTCTTCTTGGGACAAAGGTGAGTCTGAAGCCCCTTCTCCTCCTCTATCAAAATGAGACCTCTCCTCAGTGGACCTCTCAGCTGATAGTGGCTATGTCCTTTGACGTGATTTTGATCTTCCTGTTATGACAGAGGAAAGTGGGGAGAAGTTCTGCATAGAGAGAGGTTGGAATGTGGCTGAGGGGGACTTCTGGTTACAAAAAAGGAGTGAGCTTCCATGTGCCAGGGCGTTCTTTACAGAGTGATGAAAACTGTGTGGCTCCTGGCTGACCCTCCAACACCCCACCCTGTAGTGGCATTGGCTCCTTTGTGACAAGATAACCAGCCTGCTCCTCATACACCTCTATGCTCTGTTTCCTCTCTGTTTTTTCTCGCAGCTGTACCTCCAGCCCAGAGACATGTCCTGCTACAACCCATGCCTGCCATGCCGGCCCTGCGGCCCAACCCCACTGGCCAACAGCTGCAATGAGCCCTGTGTCAGGCAGTGCCAGGCTGTTGGCCGCATCCTCAGCTGTGATGGAGTGCCCATCACCTCTGGGTGCTGTGACCTCTCTGGCATTTCCAGCCGCTACTCTGGCAGAAGGTACCTGGCCTGATAAAGATGCTGCAAATGCCCCAGAGAAGATTCCTTCAGGAACTCAGAACATGGTGCTGGGCAAAGGATGTAGAGTTTGGATGTGTTTTCTGTACAGCTGAATGGCTTTGCCTTTCCCCCCATTTCCTTTGTTTGCTTTGAGTCTTCTTGGCAACAAGGTTCCCCCAAGGCCACTCTGGTGGGAATCTTCTGTCTCCTCTCCCTCTATGGCAAAGTCCAGTGGACATCATGCAGGAATATCTTGACAGCCAAGGCCCACAGATCCTTGGCTGCTTCTGGGGCTCCCTGTCCTGCTGGCTTCCACTGAAGTGATATTTTTTGCTCTTTTTTCTCATTAAAAATCTGCTGTATCCAAGCCTAGGCTCCACGTGGTCCTTCCCTCTGTGGACACTCCCCATTGCCAAAGAAGATGGTTGTTGCTCTGGGATGGAAGAAGTGAGGGCAGAAGGAGACCCTTCTGCATTCACAGAGGTGTGGGACACCCTGCAGTGGCTCCTCTTTTGGGCAGCAGTCCTTGGAGCTGAGCAAGACATCCACGGGTGCTTGCTGCCAGTGACCATCAGGCCTTGCCTTGTGTCTCTGTTGACAAATGCCTAGAAAGGCAGGAAGCCCTGAGGGCTCAGCAGCCCCACGAACTCTTGAGGAAGGGTGTACCTCCTGCTATGGCTGGAGCTGCGCTGTGGTGACAGAAAGTGGGTGTGAGGCTCTGAAGAATGATTTGTTCTGCAGAATGGCAAGAATGGCAATGGAAGGAAGAGCTCTTGGGATGGTGGAAAGCTACTACTACTCCACTAAATTCACGACCTCCAGGAAACCTGTGGGTTCCATGGTTGATGCTCAGGGACTGGCTACACAATCAGCCATCAGACAGTGGGAAAAAAATCATGTTCTTTACAGCCTGTTTTGCATTATTATTATTATGTGTGCCGGTCCCAGCTGCAGACCCGCTGCGTGCTGCTCTGCTCTCCGCGCAGAGGGGCATGCCGTGGTGGTGGTGGTATTATTATTATTATTATTATTGTTATGTGTATTAGTATTAGTATTTCCTTTATAGTCTCATTAAACTGTCTTTATCTCAACATACGAGTTTTACCTTTTGTCAGTTCTCCTCCCCATCCCACTGAGGGCTGTCTGGTCCTGGTTGCTGGCTGCCAGGTTAAACTACGACAGGGAATTATGGCTCTTGAAGCATATCGCAGAATGACTGAAGGCAAAAGGCTTTAAAGGACTTCTCACTTGCATGTCTGAAATCCTTCTTGCCTCATCAGACTGTTAATAGCCATCATCAACAGCAGCACAGTTGGACTTCCTAACCCTACTGCACTAAACCTTGTAATAAGCAGAAGGTCCCTCAGGTCCTTTGCAATGATGATACCATCTGCAAGTGTCCTTGAAGAGGATGGCATTTCATCTGACAGATGAATAAGCCCTTTTGCCAAAGCACTGCTGGAGTGCTGCTACTGGCTCTTGGCATGACCTTCACTTTGGCTGCGCAACCGAGGAGATCTTGGAAAGGTAGGAAAGGGGCACAGGATCCATGCAGGTTTTACACTCCAGTCTAAGGGCATTGTTACTTTCTTCTATGGGTGATTTAAATCACGCTGTGCTCTGCTTTGTGGAAGGCAGGTAGTGAGCTGCCTCAACCTGTACTTCCCATTTCACTGCTGCGGCCTCGTTCTACAGGCCAGGTGCCTTCACCTACACGGGACCCCCCTCCAAAGGATCTCTAGGCAGAGCAGTGGCTATTTTTTACATCATTCTTACTCCCCTGCTCAACTCCTTGATTTATACCCTAAGAAAGAAGGATGCAAAAGCTGCTCTGAGCAGGTTCAAGAGCTGGGATTTGTTCACATAAAGGAAACAACTGTCAGGGTGCCACGACCCTCACTCCAAGTGCAGCGTACATCAGGGAGTTAGTGAACCATGTAACAGAGAAGCTGAGGAGGCCCTGGCCTCTTCTGTGCTATATGCAGTGCTTGGCCTTCAGGGCCATGTTGTGCTGAAGATATCCCTTGGCTAGAAGACAAACTCAACCAGTCGATTATAATCAATGAGCCTGGAGGCAGCTCCTGGCCCATACCAGAAATTGCACCACCTGGGTATCCTTGCCTATACCTAAAAGGGCAGTAAGAAGTTCTCAAATGAACATCCTTGCTATGTGACAGCGGAACTGATGTATAGAGCTGGTAGATCTTATGAAAATCCTCTGCAGGTTTGACTGACCAAAACAGGGGAACCATTTCATGCGCAGGATCTGTGTGTTGTGCTGTGCCCTGCCTGGAGTTGCCTATTTGACAGCACATAGCTTAGGGCTTCTAGCATTTGAAAGATGTAGGACCACATACCCTGTCTTCTCTTTCTTCCTAGTCTTAGTCTAGTCTAAGAAATGGCATTTTAAAGAATACTTTACAGAGTCTGGGTGCCTTTCCCATGGGAATCAAAACAAACCAGCAGCTCCCTGTGGAAATCTCTTGGTGTAGTCAGCATGTCCCAGTTTGAAATGCCTTTGTAGAAAAAGGACAGTGAAGAGGAGACAAACCACATGCCTGGCTGTCCCTGTACAAAGTGAGGAGGAATTAGCTGAATGTCGCAGTCCACCTGAAGTATTAACTTGTTTGTAGAAACACAGCATAGAGCAAGGAAAAGGCAAGGAAAATGCATGCTGTGTTTGGTTGTTATTACTGTGCTTGGAGTGGACATGGAGATGTTTGGAGCTGAAGCAGTGGCCCTGTGTGAGAGGCAGGTGCAACAGCTCAAAGGGATCTGGGCAACAAATGGTGGGGTGGGGGCATGGAGCAGGGGTTGCATGGGTGTGGTAGCCCTCTCCCCTGTGAAGAAGTCCAGGGAAAGGAAGTCCCCTCTTCAGCACAGGGACAGGGACAGTCATGGGCAGGAATGAACACAGTCCTTGTGTTCTGCTTTTAACACTGTGGAGCCAGCATAATTAGCAAGAGGTTATGGCTGGATACAAGGACAGAAGAATTGTCTCAAAAAGTCTTTCTGCCCTTGCAGCCAGGGGGATACCTACTGCTTCCTTATCTGTGCTCAGGGCTTCCTGGAAATGTTTTTGGAGACACGAAGGTGGGAAGAGACTTAGGGCAGTAAGAGAGACAGTGAGTGTAGGCAAAGTGTCTCAAAGGCTGCGCGGGAGCTCCCCAAAGCAACGTGGTGAGCAGCAGCAAAGGCTGCAGAAACACTTGCAGCCGACAGACTGGAGCATCTGCTCTGCTGCAGGACACAGCTGGGCAAGATGACACATGTCCTCCCAGAGCCCCAAATGGCAACTGGCTTGGGAGAAACAAGCCCTGTCTCCCCCACACATCCTTCATCCACTGGGAAGCAGCAGCCCAAAAGCAGGACCAGGAAAAGGCGCTTGTGTGGTTAATACCGTCAAAACAGGTGCAATTCCCAGCAATCTTCCTGGACACCAAGTACTTTCATCAGCATCCTGGGCTATATGAGCACAGTCAGGACATCGAGGGGAGTGATGATCCCAATGTGCTATTGAACTTCATCATAAAATCATAGAATCATTAAGGTTGGAAAAGACCTCTAAGACCATTAAGTCCAACTGCCAACCCAACACCACCGTGCCTGCTAAACCATGTCCTGAAGTGCTAAATCCACACATTTTTCCTAATATCTAATCTAAACCTCCCCTGATGCAACTTCAGGCCATTTCCTCTCATCCCATCGCTAGTTACCTGGGAGAAGAGACCAACACCTGCCTGTTGTGGTGATGATGCAGAGTGACTTGGACAGCTCCTCTGCAAGTTCCCTCAGCACTCTTGGGTGGATCCCATCCAGCCCCATAGACTTGTGAGTGTCCAGACAGCATAGCAGGAGAGAGGGATAGCAGGGAGAAAGAGATTGAAATCCTTGAAGTGAGTCAGCAAGGTGAGAGCTGTTTATCAGCACTTCTCCTGACACCACGGCATCCAGAGCTCCTCCAGTAAATCAGCCTCTTCCCAATGGTCTCCCTCAGTCAATGGAACCATGGCTTCTTTTGGAGGATGCTACATGAAAAGATGTCATTTCAACCATTTGCATTGGTGGACCTGGTAAGTGAAGCCTGCCCAAGACCCCTAGCATAGACTTCCAATGCCCTTGGAGAGCCACATTAAGGGGGGTTTCTCTGCTCTTGTGCCACATGAGATTTCTGGTATGTAAATTCCTGAGGAGGAAGAAAAGAGAGAAAGGGATCCTTCAGATGGTGGTTCATCTCCATCTGTCTTAGATAACTACCTGAGGATGAGATCAGTTCTGCCTCAGAGAGCTGACCAAGAATCCTCCTTTTTCTGCAGGCAGGGCAGAGATGAAACTCCTCAGCTTAGCTGGCTTCTCAGCAGAGCTGCCTTGGATGGAATTCAGCTGAGAGAGTTTTGCCTTCGCTCACTGAGCCAGGGATATATCTGCTCAAATTGAGATGTCCAACATCCATCGAAGCTGCTTTCTACACTCCTGCCTTAGTCCTCAGAGACAACCTGGCACTTCTAGAGGGCTTTTAGCCCTGTGTATTAAGTAAGATGAGGCAAGTCTCTCTCCCAAGTGACTTCCCAAAGAAGGGTGGCAAGCTGAGGAGCTGAGATAAGAATATTTCATCCTACATCTTCCAACTTGGTCAGCAAACATCTTTCCGTCACTCTGAGATGGCAAAATTGCAAAGAGGTAAGTCTTACCCTTAGGAGCTATGCTGAGCAGCACACATTAGTGGAGTTAACAAAAGGTGTTGGCAAAATCTTCCTGTGCTGAGACTTGGAAGAAACCAAATATACAACAGCACGAGTCCCTGAGTAAACACTGTCATGCTAGCCTGCTGCCCTGTGTTGCTGCCATTTCAGGTGCAAACTGTGGGAAAATAACAGAAGATGGGTGAGGAAGACTGTAAACACGCTCAAGTGACTTGCAGCTGAGGTGTAGAAAAACACAAGCATCGTACTACTTTTTGTATAGCCTTATATGTGGGACAAGTAGAGCACCTGTGTATA